GAGAGAGAGAAAGAGAGAGAAAGAGAGAGAGAGAGCAAGCACAACGCCCAGATCCTTTCAACAGAGGCCTTAGTATCCTATTCACTTCAAAACATCCTCAAAATACAAGAACGCTATTCTGTCTCTCCTCCTCCAAGCCTGCATCTCTCTCTTCCTCTCCTTTGCCGCACCTCCCCCTCCCTCTTTCCCTCTGATCTCCTGCTTTTCCTTCTCCTCTCCCCCTTTCCTCAACTCTTTGCCTTCATCTTTGCCTGTCTGTTCTCGTTATGGGAGCTCTTTACCTTTCTTCGCCTGCTCGTCTTTTGTTCTTTTCCATCTAGGCTTTTCTCAGCGCTATTTACAGGAAACTAAAGCATAGAGGATGGGATTCGAACCTAGATCCCTGTGCGACACCGTGCGTCGTGAGTGAACGCACTACCTTTCGCACCACGACCATCCCTCCCTTCTTGTTCCTGTCTCCCGCCCACACATCCTCTCTCTCTCTCTCTCTCTCTCTCTCACTTTCAAAGCTCCGTGAATCTCATTTCATCATATACTCGTCTTTATCACCACACTTTTTTTAGCGATCTCTCCCCCTCCGTGCTCTCAAATTGGTGATCTGAGCGCTCCCCCTCTCCTCCTCTCTTTCATCTCTCCTCTCTGTCGTTCTCCTTCTCTCCTCCGTTGTCGCTGCGCCTTCTCTCTCCTCTTCTCTCCCGTGTTCAGAGACGCAAAATTGGATTAGCTGGCAGTGTCTCTATTTAAACCTCTGCAATTAGAGACGCTCGGAATCCGAGAACTCAACGCACCGAGTGCGAAGCATAGACATGTATGCTGGGAAGAATGCTAGTCATATTAAATGGAAAGAGAATGGTAAAACGAGACTGTGAAATCCTGTAAATAATCTACCTGTTTTTTATTTGATAGTAATAATTGCATAAAAGGCCATCTGTTTATTTATATTAGTAACAATACGTTTTATGTAATTAGCAATATGTACTCATTTTTAGGGCTGTGTAGTGACTGGATTAACTGGATTAAATAATTAGATTTTTTAAATGTTGTATTTATACGTGGATTATATTAGTCAGTTTTCAACTATTAGGCCAAATTGTTCTCATTGCTTAACTGTTCTTTTCCGTGCCAATTTTGGCTGGTTAGCATGGTTTTAGTTTCCATGGTGGTGCTGATAACTGTGGAATGTTATACAAATGCGTCAAGTGTTGATTTAGTAATGCAAGTGCAATTTTAACATCTCTAAGGATGATAATTAAATATTTCTGGAGACTCTTTTTTTCTTTGCTTACTTAGTTGAATATCAAAAAATAATAAGTTAATAGCATGTTTCCACTAAGCCTGTTATGGAGAAACTGGCAGCCAGGTGGCGACATCATGCGCACATGTTCTTTACCAGTTCAGAATGGCTTGGTACAGTCGTCTAACTGTGTCTAGAATTCTGTGCCAAGAAAGGTTTGTAAATGTGCTGCACCATACCAGGCTCACGTGTAAATACCGCTGGAAGCATATGGTTTTTAGAACCATTTGGCACAATAGTGAAAAAGTGGATTGACCTTTTAAAATGCACATGATTAGATTACAGTTACTTTTTTAAAATAGATTGTATGATTATAAAGTATACATGCAATGACATAAAATATTAATTTTTATATAGCTTTAAGTTTGAATAGTCAGATCATTGCTGATGTACAATATATTCAAACTCGGTAGACTCTGAACATGGCAGAGTCTGTTTATTAATGTTTGTTCACGTGACACAGGGATTCCAGAATATTTTTGTTTATATATGAGCTAAAAAAAACTTGGATTTAAAATTGTTATTTGAATGATTGACAACCCATTTGCATCTTCACAGTTTTGAGATGTTGGTTAGAGGTCACAACTTCATGCAGGTGAAGAAATAAATCATTTCAAATTTGGGGGTTTCAATGTTTTTATTGTTTTATAATTAATTTATTTGTTTTCAATTACTAGCCTTTCATCAAATTCCAGGTTGAGAAATCCTAGAGCATGTTTACATCATGTTTACTTATTTTCATAATGCTGAAAACAAAGAAATATAACTTGTTTATCAATGATTTTATTCAAATCTATGTTATAAACAAGTTAGGTCAAAAGTAATCCTAAAGTAGTCAGAATAGATTATATAATAGATTTATATATAAATATATATAGAAGACAGAACTGCTACCTATCCAGTACAAGTCTATGCATATGCATATTTTAGTTGATTTTTTTTTCAATTACTCTCTAATGTATTGTTCCATATTTGAACTTATATGAAAAAAAATAAGATAATAATAATTTCACTGTTTGGTACTGTGAATTTCAAACGTCTAAAAGGGCCCTATTCACTGAATTGTTGTGCTGACCTTTTGAAATATTCATTCAACAAGGTTTTGTGAACTGAATCAATTGATTCATTGTATAGAGACAAAGGACTGATTTACCTATGAAACAGACATTGTTATGTCTACCAGAGACTCTCTTGCAAGAAAAGAGAATTACAGGCTGATGACTAGATTTTTGGTCATATGAACCGCTTTTATAATACTTTGTGATTTTGCATCTGAAAATCAAAACTCTGAAAGTGCAACTGGTTTCGGATTTATTTTGGTACTATTTATTGTGTGAAGTTTGGTACATTAAGATATGGTAGATCAAAGTAAATAATAAAGAAATACTTTAATTTATTGGATGAGATATATCACTATTAAAATAAAATACATTTTAAAATACTGTGTTCTCCCCATTTATAATCATCTAGGTGATGTATATCATTTGAGATATAATTTAAGTTACATTTCACCAAAAAATTGTACATTTGAGATGCTTCTCAGACTAATGAGTAGTCACAACTACATGCAGGTGAAGAAATAAATCATTTCAAATTTGGGGGTTTCAATGTTTTTATTGTTTTATAATTAATTTATTTGTTTTCAATGACTAGCCTTTCATCAAATTCCAGGTTGAGAAATCCTAGAGCATGTTTACATCATGTTTACTTATTTTCATAATGCTGAAAACAAAGAAATATAACTTGTTTATCAATGATTTTATTCAAATCTATGTTATAAACAAGTTAGGTCAAAAGTAATCCTAAAGTAGTCAGAATAGATTATATAATAGATTTATTTATAAATATATATAAAAGACAGAACTGCTACCTATCCAGTACAAGTCTATGCATATGCACATTTTAGTTGATTTTTTTTTTCAATTACTCTCTAATGTATTGTTCCATATTTGAACTTATATGAAAAAAATAAGATAATAATAATTTCACTGTTTGGTACTGTGAATTCCAAACGTCTAAAAGGGCCCTATTCACTGAATTGTTGTGCTGACCTTTTGAAATATTCATTCAACAAGGTTTTGTGAACTGAATCAATTGATTCATTGTATAGAGACAAAGGACCGATTTACCTATGAAACAGACATTGTTATGTCTACCAGAGACTCTCTTGCAAGAAAAGAGAATTACAGGCTGATGACTAGATTTTTGGTCATATGAACCACTTTTATAATACTTTGTGATTTTGCATCTGAAAATCAAAACTCTGAAAGTGCAACTGGTTTCGGATTTATTTTGGTACTATTTATTGTGTGAAGTTTGGTACATTAAGATATGGTAGATCAAAGTAAATAATAAAGAAATACCTTTAATTTATTGGATGAGATATATCACTATTAAAATAAAATACATTTTAAAATACTGTGTTCTCCCCATTTATAATCATCTAGGTGATGTATAACATTTTAGATATAATTTAAGTTACAGTTCACCAAAAAATTGTACATTTGAGATGCTTCTCAGACTAATGAGTTTTTTAAATTTGTATTTTGCTGACCATAGATTAAGATATTTTTGAAGAATGAGGGCAACTAAACATATTCAGTTTTTCATTTAATTCACATTTTTATGTAAGAGAGGCCACCAAGGATCAACAACTGATTTCTTCAACAGAAGATAAACAAGTCATACAGGTTTAAAACAACCTCATAGACAGTACATGATAACGGCAGCTTAATTTTTGGATGAACTATCCTTTCTGAGGACAATAATCTCAACATAATTATTGCCACAATACCCAACCATCTACTTTCACTGCCTAAATTATTATAGTGCATAACAATATATTTTAAAGATGCTTTCAATTGATTGAAATAAGTCATAAACTGTGTATAAAGCCCTACATTGTTCTCCAGTGAATATCTGGCAACCACAGCTGGCGGGTCTTTTTTTTTTTTAAACACAACACAGAAACTCAGTCTGAACTGTGAAGGAGTGTTACATGGAATGATCAACATGCGCACACACACATTCACAAACACAAATGTACTCCAGAAACACATATATGCCACAAACACATATACACAACAAGGGATTATCAGCAGTGATCTTCTTCTTACAGACATTTGAACAATAAAATAAGGAATATATTATATTTAATATTAATATTCTATCATTTTCAATACTATTCAGAATCTGGATGAGAATTTTCTCTGCAACCCAAAAACAATAAATCAGACTGTTGTGCAGACTTACTGCATTAGCTACTCTACTGCATTCTCAGCTGGATCCATGTCAGCCAATGAAATTGCACTAAATCACAGGGGGCTGATGGGATTTGTAGTTTATTGATTTCTGGCTAATCCTTTGCCATTCATCAGAAAGGACACAGAATGTATAATGAAATCTTAATAAGCGTTGACGGGTGATTATTCCTAAAACAAAAAGCCTGTTATAATGAAATGATGTAAGAATGGTTTGTTTCAAGAAGAGATTTAAATATATATGCAGCAGCACATCAGCATGAATTAGTTAAAGTACGCTTGAGCATATGTATGAGTTTGTCCGTGGCTAGTAGAGCTAAAAGCAAAATGCAAAAAAACATACAAGACAAAATAATCACGAGAAATAATGGCACATATTGCAACCGCCCCCCCAAAAAAGAGTCTGAAAAACAAGACAAAAAGGGAAAAACATGCAAGAAAAATACCTTCGTCCCTCGGTCTGTTCATTGAAGACTCATCGTGTTTTTTTGTGAGCGGACCTGGGGTTAAAGACAAAAAGGGGGGGAAAGAGAAAAGACAAAATTCAAAAAGATTTTACTGCGCTTAAACAAAAAGAGCAAAAAATTCCAAAACAGCAAAACAAGAAAAACGACAAACTAGCAAGAGATCATGTGTCCCACTTGAAAAGAAGAGCCAAAAACAGCAGCCAAAGCAAAGGAATGAAACAGACAACAAACTAAGAGAAAGATAAAGAGAGAAACTGATGGTGGTGTGACATCTGCTAACATCTCTACAAGCAGTTACAACGTTACTGTGTTTTTTTCCCTCAGTTTTCCCTTTCACACTCACTCATTCGTTATATGCCAGGCTTTCAATGACAAATGTCCAGCCTTCTTCCTCTGTGCCCAGAGAGAGAGAGAGAGAGAGAGAGAGAGAGAGAGAGAGAGAGAGAGAGAAAGAGAGAGAACGCTGTAGCAAAGCTGCGTTTAGTGCAACGGCCCTCAGGAGTCCTCCGTCTTAATGTCCTGTGGGACAGAAACTCCCCCTCACAGGATAAGACTGCTGAAACTGTGTGCTCTCTTTTCCTGTCTCGCAAACAAACAAGCAAACGGCTTGTGTAATTTCCTTAAGAAAGCATCTGCCACTGACATACTTTTATAGCTTTAAATGAAGATCTGATCTCTTCACATTTCCGAACAATCTGAGCATATGGTGCAAAGTGGAAATTGAAGTCAAAAACAGGGTTCTGTATCATTTCCCATGGGAAATAATGTGTGCGAAAAAGGCAAAGTTACGTAAAAAGTACTTTAGCATTTGTTTAATGGAAATTGATATAAACTTTTATCTATAATTCATTTCATAATATTATGTTGGAAGACTACCACATGATGCTGGAAGATTTTTGGATGACACTACTATGTGTTGTTTTTGTAAAAGGCACAATATGTAAGATTTATTCAACAATGTTTTATTTATTTTACTCACTTATGTACTTACACTATCCCAAATGTTTCAAAGAAATTTTTAAATCCAGAAATATAAGTAGTTTTAACTACTGACATGGACTGTATCATGTGTTGCCAAGCTGATGATATCATACTGAAAAACAGAAGCTGTGGACTGTAGTGTTATAAAAGCTCTGCTGGTTTTGTATCATGTCATGCATGTCTCTCATCAGCCATTGCTTCAGCATTTTTATTTTGATTCAATACGTTTCAGCCTTATTCCGCTTCATACTATCATGATAATACATTTGGAATACCTCAGCTCATCCATGAACATGTGTTCTGCACAAGTCCTATAGTATGTAATGTAATAAAGAGCCACAATTCCTGTGATTCACACTCAGTCAAAGCATCTTCATACACTTTATAGTTAAACACCAAATACACCTTTGTTTGTTGTGAATACATGCTCTCTACTGGAAAAACTTAAGTGAAACAAACTCAAATAATTTCTAAATGAATAAAAAGATTGCAAACTTGCAATAAATACTAGTACTAGAATTAATATTAAACAGGCCTTCTTTAGATGCTTACCATGGTATTTCTGTATAATTTCGGAATATCATATTAATATTAGTGTACAAGATATTCTGATTATAGTATACTACCATCTGTTGCAGTCAGTAAAAGCAAGGGTGAGAGGATGGCATTCTATTTGCAGATTTTATTTATTTATTCATTCATTCAATAATAATAATAATAATAATAATAATAATAATAATAATAATAATAAAAAGACAATCAAAAAACAGAATGTAGGTAAAAACAAAATAAAAGCTTTGTAAACATGGGCAAAACAACACTGGACAAAATAATTAAGAGTACCTAAACCAGACACAGGTGAACATAGTCAAAAAGCAAATAAGTAACCAAAGACACAAACTAGAAAAATGAAAAACAAAGCAAGAACTACTCAACAACCAATAAACCATAACAATAAAAATGAACAAAAATAATTATCTAGTAAAATGTTTACTTTTATTTGTATTACAGATTGACACAAATACGCAAGAGCATTTATATGACAAACATGCATACATGACTAAAACCAATTATTTTTAGATGTCACAATATTTGCATTTGATTTATCTGAATATAATTTGAACTAGCTTGAATCAATTAAGATTACTTAACAATAAAATTACACTTAAAAACATTCATTAAGGTAACCAAACTTATCTAAAGATACCAGCACCAGTTTACCACATGAGACATACAAACTAGTTTATTTTATGGAGCACTGAAAAGTGTCATCATTGTTGCTTATAATTTTTTTAAATTTCAGCTTAAAAAAATCATTCTTTTTTACAGCATAGTTTTATGCACTTTAAGTCATTTTCTTTTCTTTTGTAATGTATATGTAAAATTGACCCATTCAAGTACGCACATACTCATTATTAGAAAAAAGTGAGAGCAACACAAGTGGACAGTCAAGTTGCGTATCAATGAAAAGAGCATTCATTAATTCCCCCCACCTTCAATTCCTTCCAGCATAGGAAATCCAACCTGCAAACTTTGGACACCCAAACCATTAAGCCACAATTGCTTCAAAATTAGTATTTGTAATGTATTAGATTTTGGCGATGCGGTGGTGCAGTGGGAAGCACAATCGCCTCACAGCAAAAAGGTTGCTGGTTTGAGCCTCGGCTTCTTCCTGTGTTTTCGTGGGTTTCCTCTGGGTGCTCTGGTTTCCCCCACAAGTTTAAAGACATGCAGAATGGGTAAATTGGGTCGGCTAAATTTTTCCGTAGTGTATGTGTGTGAGTGTGTATGGATGTTTCCCAGTTATGGGTTGCAGCTGGAAGGGCAACTGCTGCGTAGAACAAATGCTGGATAAGTTGGTGGTTCATTCTGCTGTGGCAACCCCAGATTAATAAAGGGACTAAGACGAAAAGAAAATGAATGACTGATAGATTTTGGTATTGTGCTTAATGCAAAATGGAGGTATGGAGCCAAATCTAGCAGGAACTATAGTCTAAACAAAAAAGTTCAGAGAGAAAAAAGCGGCACCACAACAGTATATCTTAATAAATAAAACAAGTTACAGAAATTAAGTAACTGACTTCTTGTTCACTATATACAGCATGATATATCATTGCAAGAGTTGGTGTAAATACTTGGTGTAAATGCATCTACTGCTAATATCCAATTAAAAACGCTGCTAGTTAAATGCTACTTCTCATTTTGGTTCTCATTCACCACACTTGATCAAACCCTAGTTTAATAAGTGCATTTTAGTAGCTCTATTAGTTCATCTTGTAATAGATTTGTTCTGTCGCTGGCTTCTTTAGGACTAGAGCTAAGAGGATCCAGTGCAGCGACACGCATTAGCATCTGTCGCTAACTCAGGTTAAATGCTAAATGTTTGTGTGGCGACAGCCATTAATGGGTATTATCAGCATGACCCCCAACCCCCTCCCTCAGTACTGGCGGTGGGCCTGTAAGAGACAAGATAGAAATCGTCTCCATTTATTTACCGTTTATCTGCTACACAGGCTCTCCACACCAACAGACCACACGCGCACACACAAACCTCATTTTTCATTGCTGCGTAATCCTGACCCAGTTCATCCAACACATAATGGTCATATATATATATATATACATGACTGACAATTCTCTATTAGCAGAATCGATTTTTTTTTATTATTATAAATCCTTAAATGACCAAAACAAAACAAAAAACCCTACTTTTGATCGCATTATTGACGTTTTTACAGTCCCCTTGAAATCTATTTCTTTAGTACTTTTTGCATGTTGGTATCAATATTTGTCTTAAAGGGACAGTTCAACCTAAAATGAAGGTTTACTCACCATTTACTCTCTTTTAACTGCTCCCAAACCTTTAAGAGTTCCTTTTTTTCTGCTGAATACAAAAGAAGATATTCTGAAGAAAGCTGAAAACCTGTAACCATTGACTTCCATAGTAGGAAAAACAAAATCTATAGAAGCCAATGGGTCTATTTTGTTTTGTGTTCAGCAGATGAAAGAAAGTCAAACTTTAATTTGATCGGAACAAGTGAGGGGAGGTATTTTAGGCTGAACTATCCCTTTTAAGATCATTTTTACAGTATAAGCAAGTGTTCTCTAAAACATAGACAACATTAGCATTTAGAAAATGCTTTTAAAAACGTACCATTTCTCACTACCACCAATATGAGTAAATGGTTTTAATGACATCACTGTACACCTATCCAACTATCTTCGGACTAATCGAATGCTATCTAGGAAACGTTCTATCCCCTGAAACACACTAAAGTTTAAAGTCCCCTATTTTGCATTGTAAAATTCATATTTTGCTTTGGGCGTCTCCAACAACAGGCTGATATGCATGCAAAGTCAAAAAACACTTTCATTGTCTTATAAAATGCATTTATTTTTACCTAATTATCTCAACGACTTCCATATAATTTGTTCAGCGACTCATTTGCTTAAAGTGAATCTGCTGTGATTGGTTGACTGGGTTCAGTGTGAGACAGAGAAAAACACCCAACACTGCTATGAAGTAACAGAGTATATCAGAGCCCAATGCAGGAATGCAGTAAACCACGGCAGTTAAACACCAGCATATTCCTCTTCTCTTAATGCTAACCCCAAGTAATAACAACGACACACATTCAGTATTAATCCACACAGTGGCAAAAGTTGAACTATTTTGAAATTTGACTGTGCTGCACTGCGAACAGAAGATAGCAAAGACAAAAGGCAGAGGACCGCGAGTTCAGAAATGCATTTAAATTGCTAAAGAAAGAAGCACGCGCCACATGATTTTGGACACAATATGTGAATAGCCCATAAAGATTTAACCTGAGAGATACAGTACAAGCATTGATCTATAATAGATAAGTGATTACAAGCTTTACAACACTTTATTCCCCACAGCTGAATCTCCATCTGTCAGTAATCATCATCTTCACGTCATGATCAGTCCCGTGATTCGCCACACTCTGCTAGTGTCTGAAGGGAAAGACACGTTCATGTTTTACCGGAACCGGTACTGCATATTTGGTGATGCACAGTATCAACATCGTCGT